TTCCCTGAGGTCGTGACCTATTGGTGCTATCGGAGACATTAGGTACAGTCCAAGTGTGAGTCTTTTCAGCTAAGTCATCTAGATACTCTATGACTTCATCCGGGACTTTTTGTTAGAAGTCTCCATTACATATCATTTCTACAAATTGACGCTCCCTAGGTGTTAGGCCCTTATAAAAGTAACTGACCACACACGAACTCTCATATCCATGATGGGGGCAAAGGGTTTGCAATTCTTTGTATCTCTCCCAGGCTTGGTATAAGGTTTCACTATCCTTTTGGGCAAATGAGAATATTTGCTTCTTAAGGGCAGTGGTCTTATGATGGGGGTAATATTTGCCAAAAAAAGCTTGGGTCATTTTGGCCCAAATTCCAATCGAACGTGGTTTCAATGAATACAACCAACTTTTTGCTCGTTCTTTAAGTAAAAATGGAAAAAATTTAAGCCTCATTGTACCCATTGAACCACATTGATTGAGGAAGGTTGCAACCACTTCCTCGAATTCTCGAATATGCATGTATGGATTCTCATTTTCAAGTCCGTGAAAAATGAGAAAAAGTTGAATCATTCCCGGTTTATGTACATACGTGGCATATTGGGTGGGAACATGATGCAAGATGGCGTGGAAGTGCATGTTGGGTGAAGGTAATCATGTAAGGTCCTATAGGGCACATCATCGTGCACACTATTGCTCATTGTGTTGTGTAATGTGATGCTCGTGTCTACAGATGCAGAATCGAAAAGGGGGTTGGAAAGTAATTCAAACTCTAGTTGAGATCTTGCAATGAATTGCCCTCACTCATCTCGATACCTGTTCATAAAGCACAAAAATGAAAAAATGTGAGAAATAACAAAATACAACTAAAAATAAACAACAAACTAAAAAGATAAAAGAAGAACGAAGTCACCTTTTTGCTCGAAAATCTTTTAATTATTTGTACCGTCTCCTCGACAACTGCACCAAAATTTGATTACACCCAAAGAGTAATACAGTAGTTGTAGTATAGATTTGGGGTGTCATATCCACAGGGAGATGGAAAATAATCCAAATAATCAAAAGCTAGGGTTTTGTTGTGATTTTATGTAAATGTAACGTGTCAATTGAAATAGAATTCAAATAACAATATATAAGTTAAGCAAATTTAAATCAATGTGTGAAGCAGTGAAGTGCCAAAATTTCCTCGATTAGATTGGATTAATCGACGTCAATTTTGCATGAAGATGCTCAATTAAAGGTTTTTTTTTATCCTAACACTTTAATTGGAGGATTTACACATTCAAACCCTTCTTTAATTCCTCAAGAGTTCCAAATCTAGATTTCTTGCACAACATAATTCCACAATTGTTTATTGAAATTAGATCCAAAATCGATCATATACCTCAAGTATATGATAGTAAAAGATCACACCAACAAACGGTTTGAAATTGAAAATCAATAAATACTTCGATCATTCGATGATACAAACTTGATTGAATTCATGAAAATCTAATGTGAATTGACCCAATCTCAAACATGCCCAACAAATATAAGAAATCTAATTCTAAAATTATTAACGATGACAAAAACAAATTACACGCAAGAAAGAACGTTAAAAAAATCTAAATGAGTTCCTTCATGGCTTTATCAATTAATTTAGTTTTCCATGGATTTCTTGAGCCAAACTTGAGAGAAAATTGATAGGACATCAAAGAGACGCGTTTTGGTCAAGATTGAGGGTTTAAAAGTCATGTGAAAACTTGTTACCATAAGTGTTGGAGTCAATTTAGGAAACTGAAATTTTTCGCCTCGAAAAACACCTATATGACCGCATAGTTATAAACCATGCAGTCGTGTGGTACATTCAAAATACGGTCATGACTTCCCTAGAACGGTGGATGTGACTGCATGGAGTTTACTCTATGCGACCGCATAGTTTTCCATTTTCTCCGTCGAATAGCTTTCAGTATTTTGGTCATAACTTTCTCTCCCAATATCCGATTGAGGTGATTCAAATTGCATTGGAAAAACATCTCAAAGGAATACAACTTTGATTCAGACATCATCTTCTAATTTGATCATTTTCCATGTCAAAAAAGGTCCTAATACGAGGCTGAAAATCAGTGCGTAACATTTTCGATTAGGAATTGATGTATGATCAAACTTTGACACTATTTCATCCTTTTGACTTCTTTTATCATCCACTTGACCTCTAAAATTTTTGAATCTTCATCATAAGGTTAGATACAAGTTCGGGGTATTTTCATTTTGGTCCCTGAACTTTTACTTGCTTCCATTTTGATCCATTTTCACTCTTTTCTCCCAAGTTTAACCTTTTCTACCAAAATGCAACATGAATCATAACATAAGTATAATGAGTGTATTTTGACATCAAATAATCATATGAATGCAACAATTAGGAGAGAAAAATATCATATTTTACACTATTATCAAATATTTGAGTGATGGAGATGTTTTCACGATTTTTGACATTGAATTCATACTTGGTGAGGAGTGAATTTGGATACAACTTGTGCATTTCATATCCCAATTAGGATTTGCTTGAAATATATGAAACGATGATGCAAGATGTCGTTGTCATGGGTAGCAACGAATATTTTCGGGTAGTGGTATTGGTAGAGTCGGATTAAAGTTGGTGAATGGAACATGTAAAACACTTGATCACGTTCGACATATTCTAGACTTAAAGAAGAATCTCATTTTGTTGAATACTCTTGAATCAAGAGGGTACACATTCTCTAGAGGATGTGGAGTCTTGAGGGTTCGAAAAGGTATTCATGTTGAATTGGAGGACGAAAGAGATCCCAATTATACATCTTGCGAGGTCAGCCAAAATTTGTGAAGAAAGTCAACACATATTTAGTACTGTGGTGGAGATTCAATTTGGTACTGTACCTTTGAAATTTTGTTCAGGGTCCATATTGAAGAATACTACACATTCGAGTTTGGAGGATATGGGTAATTCTGCTTTACCACCATTACCTACGGTTTCATCATATTTAACTGCTAGGGGTAGATCCATTAGAGATAGGTATGAGGATACTGATTCGATTGCACATGCTTTTAACTTTTTAAATGTGTAAAGACTAGTCAGGGACCTTCTATGAAAGCACAGGGAATTGATTCTGCTACAATATGCGCTTCGACGTTGTTTGCTAATTTCTAGTTCTTTGTAAATTTTGGAAAACCCGATCTTTGAGTTCATGTATCTGTATTGGATACCGTGAAACAGGATAAGTATTTTTGTGTTAGAGAAAATTTGGTTCTTGTTGTTTTACCCAAATTAGGTTAAATTCCTTTTGGGGGAAATATTGTTTCATTTATTACACGCATTTTTATTGAAAAAATATTATTCCTTCATTCCATGTGTTTTTATTAGAAAAAAAAAATATTGTTTCCTTTATTTCACTTTATTTTTAATCTTATTTCCATCTTTTGGTTTTTTTAGGGTTTCGCATGTACCTTTATAAATATTATATACTCTTTTCATAAGTTTGCATTACTGAAAAATAAAATATTTGTATAGGTACAATTATTATGTTTGTTTTCTCCATATTCGTCAATTGAATAAAATATTTCGTTCCTCTACTAATTAATTTTTTGTCTTTCATCTTATTGTTTGTTTGCAATCATATACTTCATCTCGTGTCATATATATTACCTCCATCTGTTGTGTTTCCCAACAATTATGTTGTTTGGAATCATGTTTAAAGTTGATTTTCACTTAAGCTACATTAGAAAATAGCCACAAAATCTTTGAAGTTGGAATTGGCAAAAAGTCATCTCGGAGAATGTGTAATACTCTCTTTGAATCTCTTCATTTATGTAGTAGAAAATATTTTTTGTGTCTCTCCAACTTTAAATTCTTATCTAATAATCCAGGCCATAATTCTAGACAGGGAGAATAAAATCTAAAGGCATTTTCCATGTTAAATTTTGAAGTAAGCAAACAGCAAATTCATAGGTATTTGAATCCAAGTATCCAAGAAAAGCATAATATTTGATGGAAAATCGGAAAATCCTTTTGAACAAGTTGATGGTCTTATAGATTTATCAAGTTGATAGTAAAATCCAAGGACGTTCTTATTTCTTATCAACTGATCGTCGTATTAAGCATTTAAGCTGCTGACTAATTCATATGATTTTTGTACAGTATAAAAGCAATGTCTGACTTACTGCAATTTGTGGCGAAATATCTGACTATATATTCCTGCTGCTTCTTGTTAAATGCTTCTTTCGACAAAATTCAAGTCTCTTACTTTATTTAGTATGACCAAAGTCATTTACTTTATTTTAATAATATAAGCATTTAAGCATAAAAAATTAGATATTCGATTGGGTCAAAAAATCAAAGCCGTGGTTAGGCTCATCGTGCTGACAAATATGGACATTTGAATAAGTATGCAAAAGTTGTGGCATAAGGGATTTTTTAATCCAAATGGTTAGACATGGAAATGTAACTTGATAAGCTAAAGAGCTCAAATTTCACTGCATGATGTTTATAGTATCAAAACAAATTCAGAGTCCCGCGAAGAACCAAGGCTATCTAGAGAAGATGAGCTAATATTACTAAATAGAGATGTTGATGGCAGAGAGCGGATCGGGTTATGGTAGTAACATAGGTGACAAACGAGGAAATGAATTACCTAGGCCTAGTTAAAATTATGAAGACGGTGGTTGTAGTAATGTAGGTGAGAAGCAGGAGGATTATTTTTCTTCTTTGCTCTAAAATGTTAGTATAGCATGGGTATTACAGGAAAAGAATAAGTCAAAAGTACTTGTGCTTGTAGAATTCTGAATGATATTTTTTAAGGAATTAGTCCAACGTCCCCTTTACTTCGGAAAATGATGTCTCGTTCCACTCATTTGACTTGTGCTATTAAGTGCTCCAAGTTTTATTTCGAGCATTGACTTATAATACTGGACAAAGTCTTCTTTCGCAATGGACACGGCTATAAATATAGTTACCAGTAATGTCAAAATAAGACAGAGTGAAGGGTCTGCACAAGCTATGTCATACAAGCCAATGAAGATACATCCTTCCCTATTCTTTCACACTGTTTTCTTGTCTTTACTTTTGAAGTTCTGCAGTGCTCTTGATATTTTAACCTCAAATGCAACCATCACCAATGGCAAGACTCTGGTATCCTTAGGCCAAAGCTTTGAATTAGGCTTCTTTTCACCCAGTAATTCGAGCAAATGGTACATAGGAATATGGTACAAAAAATTTCCGGAAGTCATCGTGTGGGTTGCAAATAGGGAAAATCCATTAGGGAATTCATCTGGAGTTCTAACTATTAGCCCTGATGGAGATCTTGTTCTCCTGAATGCTACTACAGGCGTTGTATGGTCATCAAATTCTTCGAGAATAGAACCAGCGTCAGTTGCACAGCTATTAGAATCCGGCAACCTTGTCCTCAAAAGGAAGGATGACAATACAGAAAACCATATATGGCAGAGCTTTGATTTCCCATCTGACACACTTTTACCAGGAATGAAAATGGGATGGAACTTGAGCACCGGAGCAAACAGGTATTTAACGTCATGGAAAGGTAACAGTGACCCCTCCCCTGGAGACATCACTTACAGAATTGATCATCTTGGGATGCCTCAATTTGTTCTTCGGAAGGGATCAGAAAAGATTTTCAGGACAGGGCCCTGGAATGGAATTCGATTTAGTGGTACCGGTGTCCCATCAAACATACTTTTCAAAGTAATTTTCGTTTATGATAAAGAAGATCTGTACTATAAGTCTGAGGTCAGTGATGATTCAATTATCACCAGGCTCGCAGTAAATCAATCAGGTTTGCTTCAGCGTTTGGTACTTAACAAAGGGGATTCCTCATGGACCACACTGTATTCTTCACAAAATGATCCTTGCGATGAATATGGAGTTTGTGGTGCTAATGGAATTTGCAAAATCAGCAGCAGACCAATTTGTGAGTGTTTACACGGATTTGTTCCTAAATCTAAGAGAGAATGGGATGTCCTTCGTTGGTGGACTGGATGTGTGAGGAGAATTCCCTTGAGTTGCCATCAGGGAGAAGGATTTGTAAAGCTCAGAAGTGTTAAATTACCTGATCTCCTGCAGTTTTCTTTGAACGAAAGCTTGAGTCTAGAGGAATGTGAGGCAGAATGCTGGAAGAACTGCAATTGTATAGCATATGCAAATTCAGATATTCGTAAAGGTAGTGGAGGCTGTTTCATGTGGTTCGGGGATCTGATTGATATTCGAGAATTTTCAGAAGATAATGAGCAAGATATCTATATACGAATGCCTGCCTCAGAACTTGGTAAGTACACATCATATTAACTAATTACTTTTCTGTTGTCAGATTTCTCATAATGCTAATTTCTGCCAGGAATCCAGACAATCTTATCAGGAGTTCTATTTATCTACGGGTGCAATTAAGTTGTTTTTGTATCGTGGACAGATGATCAAGCTATTATTAACATCTAGGTACATTCATATGGTAAATGCCCATAATTAATTAACTCTTTGACATTCAGGACACAGTAAAAAGACGAAATTGGTGCTCATTACTGGGGTATCATCACTTTCTGGAATTCTTATCCTCTGCTTCATGCTCTGGTGTCTTATCCAGAAGAGCAAAAGGAAACGAGGTATGCAAACTTGTAGTATTACTTTTATAGCAAAAAATTATACCATCTTTCATCGGCAATTGAGTTAACTAGTTTGCCATTTATCATTATTCGACTCATTTACAGCATCCGAGAACAAGGGAAAAGATATAGAGCTGCCATTGTTTGATCTGAATATAATAACTACTGCAACGAGGAACTTCTCTTTAACAAATATGATTGGAGAAGGCGGTTTTGGAATCGTGTACAAGGTAAGAAACACCAAGTTATGAATGATGATTTTTACCTGTAGGAAAAAATTTGAGCACTGTCCATATGAAAGAGTCGTTAAACAATCTACAGGGTACATTATCAACAGGGCAACAAGTTGCAGTAAAAAGACTTTCAAAGAATTCTGGACAAGGAATTCAAGAGTTTAAGAATGAAGTAATGCTAATTGCCAAACTTCAACATCGTAATCTTGTGAGGCTTTTGGGATGTTGCTTTGAAGGAGATGAAAGGATGCTTATTTATGAGTATATGCCCAACAAAAGTTTGGATTATTTCATTTTTGGTCAATCTTCTTCTCTTACTCTTCTACGGATGACTAATAAGATAACTTTCATAATTATAAAATAATAGTTAGTGTCAGCTAAGCTAGATTAATATGTTTCAGATCAGGATAGAAAAGCATTACTTACATGGCAGAAGCGCTTCGAAGTTGCTATGGGCATATCGAGAGGACTTCTTTACCTTCACCAGGATTCTAGATTAAGAATTATTCATAGAGATCTCAAAGCCAGCAACATTTTGCTAGACTGTGATTTGAACCCCAAAATTTCTGACTTTGGCATAGCAAGAAGTTTCGATGAAGATCTAACAGAAATCAAGACCAAGCGAGTTATCGGAACATAGTGAGTTCTACTAGTTAATCAATATTACTCTTTTGAGCAATGCATATAAGACTATTTCTCAAAGCTAATGTTATATTTATGCAGTGGCTATATGTCGCCTGAATATGCTGTTGATGGGAAATATTCAGTGAAATCAGACGTCTTTAGTTTTGGAGTGCTTTTGTTGGAAATAGTGAGTGGCAAAAAGAATCGATCATTTCATCATCCCGACCATCATCATAATCTTTTAGGCCATGTAAGTCATATGATGCAATCTTATCCTATCTTTCTATTCAGATGATTAACTTGCATCTATTTCTTTTTCAGGCATGGTTGTTATTCAAAGAAGGCAAGGCATTGGAACTGGTCGAACACATTTCTGAACTATCGTTCGTTGAATCTCAAGTTCTTAGATGTATTCATGTCAGTCTACTGTGTGTTCAAAAACTATCACAAGACAGGCCAACAATGGCATCTGTTGTTGTCATGTTGAGCAAAGAGGGCGAAGCATTGCCACAACCCAAAGAGCCTGGTTTTTTCGTGGAGAGAAGTTGCACTGAAACGGAAACATCAACGAGTGGAGAGAGACGCATCACTCAAAATGGAGTAACAATAACTGTGCTGGAAGCAAGATAATGAATATGTGTACATGCTGCAATCTGAACAACACTGTTAGTGGAACAAATCTTTATTTTTATTTTTATTTTTAAGAAGAGTTAAATACGCAGAAGCGTAAAACAATAAACGATCATGCAATCAAACCTTGTAGATTTCAATTAATTATCGCTACATGATAACCTTTCAGTATATGTTGATTTCAAAGAATATCAAAAAATTAGGCATCGAGGTCTTATTGATTAATGCATGAATATCGAGAGTTTTGACTCGTTGATTTAAAGTATAAAATAACGAGAATTAAATTTGAAAATTTCCAATAAATATTTTGATGTAATAAATAATCGACCTACTATAAAAGCCCTATTTATTCCTTAAATATTAAAATTTTGCAGAAAAAAATCCTAATGACTAAATAATGTGGAACGGTTAAAAGTAAAATCATTAATCGGTTGAAATCACAAAATTACATATAACTTTCAGCTCAAATGTCATATTTACTCGAGCGAGTACAACTCGGGAGCCTTTTTCGATTCTCTACAATTTTACTGGATGACAATTGGCCTTTGACCAACATCGTAGACCTTTCAGGGTCAAATTTCATGGTTTGGGGTCTGTTTTAACAATTTTTTGTTTTGATTCAATTTAAGGAAATTTTCGTCCTTGTAGCAAATTTTTGAGTTTTATTGAGATTTGTCCATCAAATTGGTGCTTCGTTTCGATTGGGATTCATTTTAACTCTTTAAATATTTATTAAGAATTTGAAAATCCTAAAAACATTTTTGGATTAATAATATTTCAGTTTTCCATTTAATTGGTGGATTCCAACGTTTCTCACGTTTATTCGAGCGAAATTCAAGCAACCCTCGTTCGTGTATTTCAAAGAAGAATCATTCATTATTATTCACGTTTTCGTCCTACATCACTAAAATAACAAGTTACCCTTTAATAAAAACAAACCATTGATCTCATCAACACACCATATCACCTATTGCAGGGGATAAGTAGTAGAAAGGTGAAAAAAAGATACGAAAAATTCATCAATATCTTGATCATTCGCAACAAAATATTTTCATTATGCGTTGATTAAAAAACATAAGTCTCCGTTGATTTAACAAACTTTGACTATCAGGGGTAACCAACTTGACTGGCACCTTAAATAATACAAAAATGTGTTGGACATTTGCATGTAAGTTTGACTTATTTATAAACTATAGTCATACATGCTTTTGATAGTGAAATCTACTACTAAACTCCTATATGGAGTTTCTTCCAAGTATTTCACAAGTCCACACAAAGATTTTGTTTACCAATCAACCACGGTTAAAAAAATGTACTAAGGCTACATTTTATATTTGGTATTAAAAAGAAATGACAATAAATAAACATGTTACAAAATCTTTGTTCTTAATATTATTAATTATATTCAACGTGATAACTTAACATGTCATAGTAGGGAATACAGCATGTTGAATCCCTAGCCAATATTACTGTAGGGGAATAGGGGCCTAGGTTTTCTCTTACACCACCATTAGTGTCATGGTATATACAAACTTCAATACTTGAATTTTTTCCAAATCCAATTCCAAAGACGGCAATTGCATCAAAACCTTTTCCCTTGTTAATTTATATCTGTTTTCATATTTTTTTTTTCTTTTTTTTTTTAAGTTTTTGTAATGGTTACCATGTTGTGTGTGTGTGGTTTTTTTTTTCTTTCTTTCTTTTTTGTTGTTGCAATAACAATTACGTGTGATTTTTTTTAATGTGTGTATTTTTTATTTTTTTTTATTGTCATAATAATAGGGTGGCTTGACTGAAACGTTATATGAAGTCAGATAGTCATGGTAAATCAAAAACAATGTGAGTGACCATGGTGACACTAAGTGTAAACGACAGTGTCAAATTCGGTGATCATGGTGACCCTAAGTATAACGTACAGTGGTCATAAATGGATTTAACCCTAACTTTAGAATAAAGAAGAAAAAGTACGAATGTCTCTAATCTTCATAAAAAGTACAAATAGGTCCCAAATCTTAAAATTTGGACTCACCATATCCTCAAACCATTTATAAAGTATACATAGACAGAGAGAAAAAGAAATGATTCGACCTGGGTTTGCATAGAATCTTGACCTAAATACTTGGATCGATTGGAGCATGCTAAAGTTGTATCTCCCGAATCAAATTTGTGGCCATGAATTACACAATGTAGAATCTATTTTGCACAACTTTTGGTGGTTTCCAGGCAACTCTCTTGTTTATATTTTTCACCATAATTGTTACAAACACGTATAAAGAAAATTTCATCGTTGTATGTGGATCAAGCTATCCATCCCAACCCCTAAAAATCCCTTTTCGAACCTGGTATCCTTTAAAGGTAAAAGAACACGCCTCCACATATTTTACTTTGGCAAAGCATCACCCTATTCTCACTTTGTATCCACACAAAATCTCTTTTTTTCTCATCCCCACACAATCAAATTGTGGGCTGTTGTGAGGCCATTTCGGCAAAGAGGAGAACCCCTTTTTCTACACTTCTATAGTAAAAGTGTGTCCGACTAAACAGTATAGTTGATCATGTTCAAAAATTTACTTTTTTTTATCAGTATAATCACATATATTTCCTTCTTTCGCTTCCTTTAATTTATTATTGAATGTTATCACGTGCTCAAGTAGATTAAATTGATCCCACAATTTCATCGATTGAGGATGAACTATTTAATTCTGAATTATTTTAACGATATCTAAATTTTTGGTTTCTTGCATATAATAATATTGCATTTTGGACCAGTGTAATTCAATTCTTATGATATTGATTGAAGGACATTCTTTCAATTACATTTACTAATTCATTGACTTTAATATAATGAAATAGAGAGATATTCCGAAAAGTGAAAAAGTTTAGTGTCACGTACAAAAATTATTATGGTTCAACTAGATGTCACATCTATCTTGACAAGGATTCCATCTTGCTCCCATGTATTAAGAACGAATATTTAGGTCTCAGTTGCAGAGGCCTATCGAAATCAAGAGAATGTTTCGGGCCAGCTATAGAGACTTCCCTGAAGTATCATTATGTTGAAAGTCATAATTACGTCACCTATTTCAAAATCTATGAAGTTAGTGTTCTTGTGATACTTGTCCAGAATTTCATTTTTTGCATGTAGGGCTTAATGCACTAACTTTGAAACATTGCACCATAAAATCAGTATCCCAAAATTCCATTTTAAACTTTTAAAAATTGAAAGAAAATGTCTCCTAAAATATAACTTCTCGTATTGAAAGAACATCTGAAATCGGGTCTCTCAAAAGCTAAAAAAATAAAAATAAAATAAAATCTCCAATTGACTAACAAACTCCAGCTTAAAGAACACTCGAATATCAATCCCTCTCATTCATACAAAAATTGGCTTCAAGATGCACAAAAATCCCCAAAATAGTGCCAATTTTGGAAATAAAATTTTAAAAAATATTATTCATTTTTTATCAACAATTAGGCAAAAATATTCCACACCACTTTTATAGGTAAATATGTGGTGGTGGATCCATATTTAAAGACGGATATTTAATCCAGGATCTGATGCATATCACATGGGTCGATCCTTTTTATGGATCATACGCTGCTACGTAGGCACTTTTGGGGAGAATCTAGTTTCCCTTCTGCGGTGGTGACACCTCAACAACGTGATATTTACTGATCCGCCCACAGAACTATATCAATTACTTGGACTACATTTGCCCACCCTGAGTTGTCTCTCGACATACTTTATTCACAGAAATTTATTATTCGAATAGTAAGTTGATTCCAATTTAGTCTTCGACCTTTTACTATTGCGACGTGAAACCAATTTCCAACACCGCAAATCTCCATTAAACCGTTATGTGACTCGTGTATCCAACCTTACGTAGTTAGTATCGTTTTCCAACTGGCCGTATTAGGTTACCAGATAGGGGTTCTACAGAACTCTTATCGAATACACACAAACATGAGGGTGAAAATTGTTGGGATAACTTTTTAATGAGGCAAGCCCCGCATCATGTGAGGAATTTGTGAAAATTTTATAGAACTGACCCCGTACACCAATCAAAATTTTTCCGAACTTGACTTAGTACCCAAAAATTAAATTTAAATATTCGCACAAGGATCACATGATGATCTAAAAAGAATTTAGCGTATGTTTCGTATAGCCTTTTATAGATTGATAAGTGGATCTTAAGAAATGTATAAATAATAATTATGTTTGATTAGTTTATAAACTATATGTATTCTTAGATTCAAATTTAAATTTAAATTTAAATCAAAATAATTAATTAATTTTTATTATATATTTTGTAAAATTCACAACTTTTTAATCGCATAGTTCATTAATTTTTATTAAAATTTGCTAAAAATCTCACTTTAATCCCATCAAATAGAGAATTAGATAGTTTCAGTTATTGAAACTTGATTGAGTCGGGACAAACTTACTTTGAAAAACGTTTAAAACTAACACGCCATTCAGACAACGCATTTCGAGCCCGATAACAATTATCAAATATGTTGACAACAAAGTACTTTGTGTGTCCAATGTGGTCATCTTCTTTTATCTATAAAAGATAATAAAGGCATGTTTGGTCCGATTTTTTCATCCAAAAAATTGATTTTTTGACCGTTATTTTACTATTCCAGCAGTCATATTTGACTTCTTCTCTCACAGGTGGACCCCACTTTTCTCCTAACGGTCAAAAAATCAATTCTGAAAATCACTTCCAAAGAGGCTCTAAATAATATAAGAGAAAAATGTCAAAAAGAAAAGTGGGTGCAAGTTGTCGCTGTTTCAACTTTTCGTTAACCCAAAAATTTCAGTATAAGAGGCTGCAGAGCCCAAACCTTTACTGCACATGTACAAACAAACCAAAAACTCCATTCAATTTCAAAATGTCGAAAAGGGGTTGTGAATTATGCAGCAACCCAGCAAGAATGTACTGCGAGTCTGATCAAGCAAGTCTGTGCTGGAACTGCGACGAAAAAGTTCATAGTGCAAATTTTCTGGTCGCAAAGCATTCAAGAAACCTTCTTTGCCATGTCTGTCAATCTTCGACCTCGTGGAGAGCCTCAGGACTGAAGTTCGGGCCCACAGTTTCAATCTGCCATGTTTGTGCCCACGGCGAAAATGGTGGAAGCCGAAGAAGACAAGCAAATCATGAAGAAGATGAAGATTGTGCTGTTCTCCAAGAAAGTGAAGATGATGATGGAGAATATTATAGTGGAAACCTAGAGAATGACGATGATGATGAAGAAGAAGGAGAGAATCAAGTGGTTCCATTGTCAAATTCTAGTTCTACACCATTCTCTCCACCTGCAGCAGCTCCTGCACAGAGTTCTTCAGGCATCGAGGATAATTTGTCTTCTACTTCATTGAAAAGAATTCGAGACAGCCCTTTTGAATCCGAGGTCAGTAGTTTACGTTTCTCTGTCTAACTTGAAATTTGATCGAAAATTTTATCATGAACTAATATTTTTTTTTTTTTTTTTCAATTATACAGGATGAGGATGGTTGTTGTTCATCACAATTTTACCCTAAAGCTGCAGCATCAGGAGAATTAACAGATCAGAATAATGGTTCTTCCTCATCAATTTCCTTTAGACCATTGAAGTTACAAAGAGAAAATGCATTTATTCCATCAGGAAAGGCCGTTAATGAAGATCAGACGGAGAAGATGAAATCAAGAAGAGCAGCAATCATAGGATCACTCAGAAAATTCCAGCAAGAAATTGAATCATCTGCTATGATCACAGGCCTCAGTAAACTCAGTAGAGATTAAATTTCTTGAATTTTGAATTTTTAGTATTTTTCTTCTTATTTTTCTAGTAAGTCCAATGGACAAATCACTTTGAAATAAAAAAAAAAATTGCAGTTGATGAGATTGGATTCCTTGTTTCTTAAAGTATTTTACCAGCATCTGGTCTGTTTTTATGTAAATTACTGTGCAGTTCTTCAGTATTCATTTTCACTGGACAAATCACCTAATATGTAATCGTAGTTTATTGTTACATACACTAGTAATTGAAAACTTCATGCTTTAAATTGCCTTACTTCTTTTAACTTTTCTTCCATATTTTTCCATATCTTTAAACTCATATATTATTGTGCGGTTGTTCAGTATAATGAGAAAGAGATTCTTCACTAATAAGCATATTGGCCTAATCGAATAATAAATATGTTCTTATTTCCAATCTCTGTTTCTCCAACACGTGCTTACCTCAAAACTTCAAAGACACGTTCAAGAAAACCTATAAAGGAATATATTTGCTGTCAATTTGTAATCGTGCCACGTTGATGAATTACAGCATGGTTTCATACGCTACAAGATTCCCCCACCTGTTGTTTCTACGGTTGTAAACAAAGATATTATGAGCGGTGCGACGATTTTAATGAGCATTTGTCCAACGTGGTTGGCTGGAAGGATTGTGTAATAATAGATGGTGATGGGAAAGATGAGGCCAAGAAAGCAGGCCATGGGGACCATACCATTCATGCTCAATAAACCAAGTAGAAACTTGTGGCCCTATAGCTTTTTATGCGCCGTTCATATAATTGAAGTGTTATTAAAAGTTATTTAAACCATATTGATGAAAGACACCAATAGGGCAACCCAAGTGTTTCGTTTATAAATAGTCACCCCCAAGAATTTGAAATGCAAGCAATCGTATTAAATGGGGCGAGTTGAGTCGAACCACTTGTAGCTCGTCAATTTTTTCTTTCTTTCTTTTTCTTTTTTTTCCTATTGAAAATGACATATTTCACTCATTATAGCAAGCCAACTTGAACACAAGCCGGCCTTAATACCCTGCGAGGCAAAAGAATCTACTTGTGATGATCAAGGTAAACAGCCTTTGTCCAACAATTACCCAACAATTTGAAACCACTTATCACCGTGGGGTACAGATGCTAGCACTTCATGATTACTTGTATCTTCGAAAATCTTCTGGTAGAAATTAAAATCATATTTTTTTTTTCTTTTTAGTAAATTGTTATAGAAATTTTTGAAATGTATAGTTGAAAAATTGTTAGATCTATGAAAGATGTAATTGATATTAATTATTTGACTTTGACTTAAATTAAAATCAAATTTTAATTCAAACCAAACAGGCTCGTGCATCAAGCACAAGGATTTTCTTGTTAATTATTTCACCATCAAATAGTAGATATATAACACACACAAAAATATGACTCGATTAGCGTGCTCAATCAATTAAGGTCCAAAAAGTCAATCTCTAACCTAAAAATTCAGTATTCTTTAGCGTCCCCCTGTTAAATTGCATCACAGACGCATGCTATTTCAATATACATTGATAGTGCTTTTAAGTACTTAAAAGCGATAGGTTTCATTTAATATGTGAATAGTAAGTGGAAAGTCCTGTAAATATAAAATATGTTTAACCCGCTTAAATTATAATTTCCACTTTGCCAAAAATATGCTCATATATGTACATGTCTATGTGAAGACCTAACTTCAATTGGCAAAAGATATAAATTCACTTCCAGACGGCAAATGCAATCAATCCCCCAGCTCAGTGTGACCAAAACAATCTCAAACATAATGTGCATTAAGGGAACAACTTATGTAATTAATAGTAAATACTCAGCTAAATTTAAAAGAGAAGTGCACACACATTGCAAAGATCTATACGAAGCGAAGGGTAAATAACTAACTCTTAATGCTGTTTCAGAACCCACCACCATCAAGATAACAAGTAGCAATATATGCGAAAAGATGATTATGATAAGTTTGTAAAGCAACAAATGTTCATATACATGGCATAATCCACAATCGAGAAACCAGGTTGATTCACATAAAACTGAAATATATAGTTTGTAGCCTGCAATGCCTTCTCCATTTCAATACTGCAAAGGAGAGAATCGTCAGAAAATTTTGCAAACACCTCTGGTGCAACAAATATATGGAAGTTACAGTGAGTTTGACGTTTCGAGTGTGACTATGTCCAGCTGGGGATGCTGGACATTCTAAATCGATATAAGTCAAACTCATAAATAGACAATTTATATTAGAGTCAAACATAAAATACAATACCTGCAGCCAAGAAAGAGAACCGCCTCGACACCTCCCTTGTTTAAGTTAGGAATCTGTCACAAAAATTAATCATAAAATAAGATTACTGAAAAGCATATACAATCTAATAATAAAACAAAAGGAAACCCAAAAACAGCGGCAGTAACATTTTGCATGAGCAGAAAGAAAATGGGCAATAAAATGTGTTCTCTCGCTTTTCTATTTTTCACCTCAGGGGGTTCAAATTAATACAATTTACTCAAGAATAACTTAATAAGTGGAATCTCTAAAGGACCATATAGTATGCAATAAGCAGGCAGAGATTTGAAGCAAACTGTGGCGCAAATTAAGAGAACCAGATCTGACTTCCTTATCAGACATGTTGACATGTATATGACTGATAAATGATCCAGAAAAACATTGAAATATATATATAGATGATATTTGTGTCACCTATATACAAAGCGAAAGCGAAAGAATAATATTTTTCCACGGAAGCATATAGAGTCTCCACATATTTAAGCATTATTAGTCCTCATTATATTCCCAAAACTAGGGCGAATTTGCACCCGCCATCATTACTTAATCTCCAAATGAGTTGATATGGCGAAAAAAAATTCAAGTTGAAGCCTTGTCAACTAAATTGCCCTTCTCCAACACTATATATCAGCCATAACGGTCATGACAGGATACCTTCAGTAGTTACAATGTTGTCTCATTATGATTTTGTGTCCTAATTTGTTATACAGGCACCATCTTTCTACTAAAACAATTCTAAGATAAGACACTCATAAAATAAAATAGAGTCAAAGTTACATACTAATTACACACCATCTTACAAGTATATATAGTAAGTAGGAGTTAAGATATGCAGTTAGGACTCATCGATGATCAACTTACGAGGATCACTAATCTATGAACCATTAGTTTCAAAGATTGATGACAATTTGAAGAAACAAATCTAAAAGATGAGCTGATTACCTCTGTGCTACAAGACAATTTGTTTGGCAAAGATATCCATTGATCTTAAGTAATCTTTGATGCTTCTTTGCAATAAACTACAGCGGAGCTGAAAACTTCATATCTAGATTAAATACTAATTCTTAAGTAATTCAAAACACACGGGAAGATTTTAAAGATGCCAACAGTCTGCACTATACCAAGCAAAAACAGCCATGCATATCGGTACATGCATGCATACATGTGTTCGCTTCATAAAAACACAAATTCACGTAGAAGAAAGGGGAATAGAAAGATATGAACTATGGCATTTTTATTTGCATATGACCTATCAAATGTTGGAGACTATAAGTAACATTTTCCTTGAAGAAAACATCATCAGAAAAAAAATAATAATGAAAATATAATAAAAGTAAAAAAATAAAAATAAAAATTGGGGCTGGTATGTGTAATCACAATAAAAGCTCTTAGTCAAAACTAATTGTATCTTCTAATTGTCTGAGACTCTCAGTATAGAAACTTGCTAATCAATAGGAGAGGATGTACACGGTTAGCAGAGACAGTGGTCCCCTCTAATTCCTACACCCCACTCAAAGAAAGAAAAGATTGAATAATATTATAGGTAATTTTCTTTATAAGGGGAAAACCAGATCCAACAATTGTGGCCACCTTCGCACCAGCAAAAACAAGCATACTAGTGCCATTTCTGGTTTTCCTTCCAGGAGTTGGAAAGAGATGACCAAGTAAGGATACCTGCCTCGCTGAAAATACGACAACAATAACAATGATTCTTATACGGAGGATGCTAGAATTCATACAAAGAAAAAGGGAATACAACTCCAATTCCACCATACATTCTGGCAAGTGGAAAACTTGAAGAGATGAGAAATGCACCTAGCTTCCAGTTCTATGATTCATCAAAAATTCATCAATCTGAATTTCTTTCTGTATCTTGGCATCTTATATCTGTTAATACGGAACAAGATATAATAAAATAATGGAACGTTAATTTTTGCTACCAAATGGATGTGACAGGAATTGACAATGAAGTAAGGAAATAACGATTTGGGTGGTTGGAGCATGTTTTGCACAGACATAAAGAAACTCATCTTAACATAATATGGTGAGGTTGAAAATAATTTGAAATATTTCCATACGTATTGTGATTCTTTGCCTAAGGGAAATATAAATATTCAATTATCCAATGTCAATTTAATGGAAACAAGGATTAATTTGTTGTTGTTATTGTTTCATGATCGTCCAGTCTTAGATGAAGTTGCCACCAGCTATGACTCTTTCTTTCAAAGAACAACACTTAACTTTCACAATCTAGTTGCATTACGGTACTAGCTTCTACATAGAGCACCTACTAAGGATAGCAAAGCTTGTGCAATCCAATTTTGAACACCAAGACAAAAGTTCAAAGATTATTTTCATCGTAAATTCACTTACTATGAATGCATTCAAGTCATAATTATTATATCCGGAGCAAAAAGAATCAGCTGAATGGATGAGTCTCTATTCCAACATATAGAACTCAAGGTAGAATGTCTTGGATTAAATAAATATGGAGATTTAGGTAAAAGCAAAGAAGCACAGATACGGACACGGATACAGATATGAATATGTAATTCGAATATGATACGATAGGGTAGGTTGATACGACTTTTTTTTTTAAAAAAAAAGTTAGGATACGTGTTATAAAATTTAACATAATTTCATTAATATAAAAAAAATTAAAACAAAAGCATAATACTAAAACATTTTATAATAATCCCAATTTCAATTTCTTCATCATCAGCTTCTTCTTTATCATTAAAAATAAAACTCTTCAACTTTGGCACATCTAATAATAGATTAGCAACAACAAGCTGTCCAACAACTTCAAGGGTATCAAACGAGTCTCCGACAATGTCCTACATTTTGAATTTTCCTTTTAAATAGAGATCTAATTTTCTTGATAAATGATTCAGATTGCTATAAATGAAAATCAATTCTCTAGTTCCTTGTGAAGCTATTCCTTCTCATGGAGTGCACAAAAGAATAAGTACTTCAATTATTTAATACTAGTTACAATCTGTTTTCAATAATAAAAATATATTCGTCGATTGTTAACACAGTTTCACATGTATTGAAATATTAAATAATATTGTGTATTTTCAATAAAAAGTCTAGTTTTTAATTAATTTAAATCTCTAATTATGTAGTTCTAATGAATATTATTAATATTCAATAAAATAAAATATAAATTTCAATCTATAGTCTATAACAATGAGTTTTAAAAGAGTATAAAATCAATTACATTCTTCCTCACGTATCCTAATGTATCGGATATGTATCAAAATTTTGATACGTATCCAATTCGTAAATTTTGAAACATAAAATAATTAAAAATTGTATCCAATACGTACCGAAGAGTATCCAACCTTAGATACATATCGGTGCTGCTTAGGGTAAACATTGAACATACAACAGACATTTTAATGTAACAGTTCATTTTTCACTTAACCAAGAATCCTTATCAGTCTTGCTTAAACGGCATATTTGGAAATAAATTTCTATTATAGCTAGAAATCATTATTTGTGGATAGTCTAAAAAGAAAATGAAGGGAGATAATCAAAAATTAGTGAAAGCATCATCACATTATTAGTCAGTGCAATACTGAAAGTATAAGTTTCTTTTTTACCTAAACATCAAATTATAGAATCTATTACTCACTGTTTCAGATTTGAAACCATTATTTCATTAATATATATTGATGTAGATAATTTACTCAACAATTGATCTTGCCTTTGCTCTTTCAGCGAGAGAGTCAATTCAAACCTTTCGACATTTGCGACATGTTTGGAAAGTTTTTATATACGGTTAAACCATAAATAGAAAGAAATGAGTGGTGAACAAGCTGCCCTGACATCATTCATAATACCAAAGAAGAAGGAAAGAGTTACACAAAAATTTAGAGGTTGTTATGAGTATTCGGAAAATGGAATTTACAAAGAAATTCATTCACATAGGAATAACTTTATTTCCAAACCCAATTCTGTGGTTTGGATAGTGTATTTATCTTGACAAATTTGTCTATGTAGAACTCGGAACTAAAACTTGGAAAAAATGAACTCATATTCACATTGATCTGCTCTATATTCAACAGGACTGTGCTAAATCCTCACAAATAGACAGGTGAATTAGATATGCTACAAGATTTAGCTCATCAGCAACCTATCTGGGGCAAGCGAATGGAACAACAAATTCACAACAAACATCTAGCAACATTCTTGATTCAGATTTTACAAGAGGGCAATAAATTTAGTACATAATAAAGAGCGCAAGACACCTTTTAACCCAGAATGACAATAAATTAAAGAATCTAAAAAACGATTGTCAACCTTCAATAACTATTCCTTGTCTATCCTATTGTTCACTGTTATAGCTATCCAAATTATGCAGCCAACTTTATTGCCGATTTCTAAACGGAACATATAAACACCATTTATCCTTTTATATTAGGCAATAAATCCTCACAAGCCTCTGCTTAAGCTTTATAAATCCTAGGATTTAAGCCTCTGATTAAGCTTTATAAATCCTAATAATTTATCTATCACAAAGACTTCAAATTGACTATGCCCACCTTAAAGACAAATGCTCAAAAAATACAAGGAAGAAGAAAATGCATTCGAATAAGTTATAAAAAAGCTGACCCTTGCGATCATCAGAAGCGTCATGATACTCTTGCTCCTCCTCATCCTCCTTGGCTACAGTAGCTACAGATACCACTGGCTCTCCACCGTCAGCACTGTCTTTCTCGTCCGGATATCTAACAACAACAACAGGGCATACACAATGCCTCACGCAGTAATCACTGACACTGCCAAGCCTCCCATCGCTCCCTCTCTTGATGGCACCAAATCCACGGCTCCCCATAATTACCGTACTGAGACCAAGCCTCTCAACTTCCAAACAGAGCCTCTCTCTCATGTCATGATCTTTCACAATATGAATTTTGAATGGAATTTGAGCCTCCACGAGCGGTTGTGCCAGATCAGTCGACTTCGTAGTAGTAAAAGTATCAAAATCATCTTCAAGCTTCCGCTGGGACTCCTCATTTTCAGTATCAACAATGGATAAATCAACGGACCCCCAATCAGCCCCGTAAAGAACCGAAGTGGGCCGAACATGGACGAGCACAACAGCATCTCCAGGACGGAGATAGTTATGTACAGCCCACTTAACAGCAAAAGCAGACTCATCACTAAGATCAACAGCGATGCCGATCTTCCGCTGGGCATTGGCCGTAGGAGTTTCAGTGGATAAAGGAGTGGTGGGAGGAGGGAAGCGCGGGGAGGAGGAGCGGACCTTGATGGAGGCGAGCGGTGGCATGTCGGAGTCCGGCGAAGGGTGTTGCATTTTTGGAAGTGCTAGGGTTAGGTATTGTGACTGCGTTGCCTACGGTGTGAGTTTACTGGTTTTTTGAAGGGAAGAGAGATGGGATTTTGACTTGGGGGAAAAACGAAGAGAAATGGAAATGGGTATTTTTACATTTTTTTTTGGAGGAAATATGCTATTAATTTTTGTCGTTCACCTAACCTATCCCTGTCAATCTTTTGATAAAAATTTTAATTTAAATTAAAATTAATAATTAATTTTAATCACATATTTTATAAAATTCACAATTTTTTAACTATACATTTTATCAACTTTTATCAAAATTTACTATAATTTTAATCCCTAACAAATAAAGGCTTAATATAAAAGTGACCGTCTTCCCCTTTGTTGGGCTCCATGGAATAAAATTAGTGTCAAATATATTTCATTGGCACCAAAACGTGATTTCACAACAATCATAGAATGTTTTCAATTATTTTTGTGTTTCAAGTTTTAGTGATTGTGATCATAATTGAAAATCGTTTTCATCCTTGTTGTGTATTGTCATAAATTGTTGTTTTCATGTACGTACAATTGCTTGTCGATTGTGACCGCCTTATTCAGTCATCCGAAATTCAAGTCACCAACGAAAAAGATCTCTTGATTCTCGTGGCCGACTCTATTAACGTCAACAATGCCAATCAAGTGAATAATTTATGATGTTACTAAGTTTTCTTTTTGCAAGTTCTTTGGTTAATTGTAACTTTATTAAGTTGTTGTTCTCACTATTTATGCTAGCAATATTTTGTAAATGGTATGTTGGTTTAGGAAAGTGTTATATGTACATAATTGTTTATATAATGATGTCCATAATTATACGTGATACTAGATCCAATATTTAATTCAAATCTCACATTTGCACATGAACAACCGAATGATTGTCACATCACATTATGGACATCATTATGTACAATAATTATGTACGAATAAAATTTTCCGTTGGTTTAATGGTTTAATTGTGAACAATGATGTAATTACTATTCGTTCCCTTCTATAGTCATGAGTTTTCTATTTATATTTAAACTAAACCACCTGGGTGTGATTTTTATTTATTTATAGCGACATATAAAGCACATCATCTCAATGTGATTACAAAACAACCTGTGTCTAAAGGTAACATAAATTGACTCGATTACTTGAATGTAACATACATATAATTATAACATGTAATGCAATGAAGATTCATGGTATCAAAAGGATTCTTGCTTAATATAGGGATTTTGTTATCAGTAAACTGATCTAAAAATTTTGATGGGAGATTTTTCCAAGTGGAAATTTTATTGATATGGATTGATCTCTTGAAAATAAAAATTGATAGGAAGTTGATGAGAGATAAATGGTGTATTTATTTCCAGTTTTTCTTATATTTTAATTATTATAGAAGCACTTTCAGACGCCATGATAATCCCCAACATAGCGGTTGCTCTAGAGACAATAAAAGAAACAATAATTTGTTCTATAAATGAAAGTTATATACAACGTTGTTGCTCCTGTTTACAATATTGAATCTGTTTTTGCATATGCCACTCTCTCAGGTAGTATAAATGATGCACACAACATCCATTTTCCAGGAGCTACAAGCCGAACCCTGCGCATTTCTACCTCAAAACCAACCTCAGACAGTGCAATTCTAATTCGCTGATTATGGAATAGCATGGAAAAAAATGATTATATTATAAACTGATACACGAAGAACTCGTATAAACTAGAAATCCAGATTCAGGTTACTCAGATAGCGGAAAAAGAAGTATACCTCGTGAAAGTCAAATTCTGGATCCTGAGCTTTCGAGAACCCATAAATATAAATCCTAGGCAACGTCCTTTGTTTATCTATGTGGTTTCTTTTGAATATTCCCCTAAATGCATCTGCAGCAATTGGAAAACAAAATATAACTTCATCAAATAAAGTGCATAACATAAATGCAGTAAACATGTTATTTCAAGACAAAATCTTGATCATTCAACCAGCGACCATCCTTAGAGGGAAACCTTCGTAGACTTAGGAATCAATTTCTTCCAAATAGAATGCATACAGCAAGTACAAAAATAACAAACAAATATTCTTCGAGAGAAGGTAGAAACTTATTTATTGTTTTCCCTTTATGGTTTATATGGATTTGTGAGTTCCTTTGCAGAATAATTCTTCAAGCCTTTTGATGTAGGGTGAATAATTCAATAAATATAACAAGAAGAGATGGGGGAAGGGGGGAGAAGAAGAAGAACAGAGGCGGGGGAAAGAAGGGAGGAAAACGGCTACAGCCACTTTATTATTTAATCAAATTCATCAACTGAAAAATAACAATGTAAAATAGATTTAAATACTGAAAAATACTGCAAATCTAGGGCCAAGCCCAATACACAAGTTCATAAAAATAAAATAACCTAAGCCCAACTAAAATAATTAAAACTAGACTGGGATGTCCTCATCAATTCTCCCGGGGTGGGAGAGAAACCCTGTCGAGTGGCTATATCACCATAGGCATCCGTCAATCTCCCAACCATAGGCCGAGTGGCTGGACAAGCTTCTTCCGACGTCTGTAGAAATGCGTCAGTGGCGGTCTGAACCTCGTGTCCTCACCAACTCCTCTCGGGTGGATGGGAGGCGATCTGGGCTAATGAAGATCCTGCTGACTCCGATAAAATTCTAACAAATCTGGATCCAATTGCTGTAGTGTCTCCCTGGAGATCCATGCACAGGCACAATCTGGTCGACCAACCCAACGATCAAGGAAGCGCTGAACCTCACCATCATTAGTGAAAACAGTTTCTTCATCTAAAATAGCATCAATTTTTTCTTTGTGTGCTGTGAGAGGTGGTAGTAGGTTAGAAGGGGTCAAAGAATCAGGGTCAAGGTCCACAATAGGAGATGACAGAGGATCATCTGAGGGAATGAAATGACCTTTATAAGTTACAAGGTCCTCAACATTGAAAGTAGAGTGATAACCAAGGTGTGGTGGAATGTCAACAATATATGCATTTGGACCAACCTGCTTTAAAATTTTAAAAGGACCAGCACTACGAGCTTGCAATTTAGAGGCGGGTCCATGTAGATGCCGCTCTGGCCTAATGCGAACCATAACGTAATCCCCAATGTTAAACTCAATATGTCGTTTGTGTAAATCAGCTTGGAGTTTATATTTTGCATTACTAGCTTCAAGTTGTTTATTGATCTCAATATGTAAGTCACGAAGATATTGTGCAAATGCTTCGGCTGATACTGACACTCTAGCCTGTGGGAACATAGGGATGAAGTCTAACGATTTCCTAGGCTTGTATCCATGAACGGCTTCAAATGGACTCATACCTAGTGAACGATTTATAGAGCTATTGTACGCAATTTGAGCTACAGGAAGGATCAAATCCCAATTTCGAAAGTTTTCCCAGACCAGACAACGTAATAGGTTACCAAGACTTCAATTAACTACTTCAGTTTGACCGTCAGTCTGAGGGTGGTAGGCCGTAGAAAATTTTAATTTGGTACCCATCTTGCGCCACAAAGTTCCCCAAAAATGGCTAGTGAAACGAACGTCCCTATCAGACACGATGGTCTTGGGAAGCCCATACAATTTGACAATTTCATTAAAGAATAACAGAGCAACCTTGGACTCATCCGATGTCTTGCTACAGGGGATAAAATGAGCCATTTTTGAGAAGCAATCGACAACCACAAAAATGGAGTCATGCTTCTTTGGGGTGCGTGGAAGTCCTAACACAAAATCCATACTAACATCTTGCCAAGGACAATTAGAGACAGGGAGAGGAGTGTATAGACCTGTGTTCTGCTTCTTCTTCTTACTCAATTGACAAGTGTTACAAGTACTAACAATTTAAGCCACGTCTTTCTTCAAGCTAGGCCAATAGAATTGACGTTCAACTTCCTCTATGGTCTTATCACGTCCAAAATGACCGGCTAACCCTCCCGCATGAATTTTCCACACAATGAAATCTCGCACTGAAATTCGAGAGATGCACAATTTATTGGCTCTAAAGAGATAACCCTCCTCAAGTCGGAAGCCATCTGTGGCGCTTGATTGTCCTCTTTGTAAATCGAGAAAGATATCTTTAAAATCGGGACACGCCTCGTAATCCTCCTTAAATCTTTTAAAAGCGATGACATTGACACTCATGATCGACAAAAGGGAGACACGACGACTTAACGCATCAGCTGCTTGGTTCTCTACGCCCTTCTTGTGTTTTAAAACAAATTAATAGGCATGTTAATATTCGACCCAACGACCATGCCTAGAACTTAATCTTTTCTAGGAGTTGAGGTAACGGAGGGCCTCGTGATCCGAATAAAGGACAAATTCCTGGGGTAACAAATAGTGGCGCCAATGACGCAAAGCCTGGACCACTGCATACAGTTCCTTATCATAAGTTGAGTATCGCTATTTGGCCTCGTTTAACTTCTCACTGAAATAGACAACAGGGTGACAATCCTGACTTAAGACTCCGCCTATACCTACCCCGGAGGCGTCACATTCAACTTCAAAGACTTTGAAAAAATCGAGAAGACGCATGACACGGGCCTCCGTCATTCGCTTCTTGACTAACTTAAAGACCTTAGCCGCCTCTCGTGTCCAATGAAACTCCCCTTTCTTCATGCACTCCGTAATAGGCGCCATAATAGTGCTAAACCCCTTAATAAAGCGACGGTAAAATGTAGCTAAGCCGTGAAAGCTCCTGACGTCATGAATAACTTTGGGCTCAGGCCAGTCAATAATCGCCTGAACCTTAGCAGGGTCAGCGGATACCCCTGTCGAAGAAACAATGAACCCCAGAAAAACGACTGTGTCGGTGAAGAAAGAGCACTTCTTGACGTTAGCATATAGATTAGTTGCACGAAGGGTAGAG